GGATGGTCGGCGGTGTTTTCCCCCCGTCATCAAGAGTCGAGTTGGACGCAAAAAGGGAGCCTAAAAGGTCAGCTTTGTCTTTTGCATCTTGGGCCAGTGAGTCGTCCTCCCTGTGCACAGATGGTAGTGATGGCTTACAGAAATTCCCTTGGACAGCCTTGGCGAGAGACCAGAATGCACGGGTTACCGAAGGAAGGCGAACTAGTTTCTCGCCAATTCTGCCTATGTGCTCTGACTTTGCCTTGGCAATAACTCTTTTGAAGGACCTGGAGGCGAAGTTATACTTCTTTTTAAGTGTGCTGGTGTTTACATCCCGAGTCGCCGAAGCCGCAGCCCAGGCTTGATAACACTCCTGCTTACTGCGTAATGCAGTCTTACAGGAGCGACCAAACCAAGGCTGAGATCTGCCTTCGATGGATACCACAGATGATGGAATAAATAGTTCCATTCCCTGTAGCACCACATCAGTGACAGAGTCAGCAACAGCGCTGGGATCATCCGGCGAAAAGCAAACCCGCCCCCATGTGTAGGATGCAAAGAAAGACCGCATTCCATCCCAATCCGCCGACCTGTAATGCCAAACATGGCGGCAACCTGCAGAACGCAACCGCGACGGGAGCGTGAGTGGCACCACACTCCGGATCAGACAATGGTCCGAAGAGCCGAGAGGGGCATCGACGGAAACCTGATATCCGTCCGGATGAGAGGTCAGCAGAAGGTCCAACAGGGAAGGTGTATGATCCTCCACATCTGGAATCCGCGTAGGCGAAGTAACCAGTTGTGTCATAGAGGCACCCGTAGACGCGCGGATGGTCGTCGCTGTCGTGCGTCGTGTGTCGTCGATGATGTGCTCGTTTGTCACCCTTATTCTATAAAAAAAAAACCTTGGTCAAGTATGTTTCAAATTTGGTTTTTGGAATAATTTGTATTTCTAAAGCGATCTATATTTTTCGGCACGAACCGCTGTAAACAAACGACCACTCACGACGGTGGCTGAGCCCGAAGTGAAAAAGTACTTTTCTGTATTTAAACTACTTTCAAAATCTTGGTATAATCATGTTATGCGTATTTTTTTTAATGCGCTTAAGGCATGCACAATTGGATTTACAAATATTTAATTATTTCACTCAACAACTTATTCGGACGCAATTAATTAATATAAAATATTATTATTCTAAAATACTCTAAATTATGGTATTGTTTCCCATTTATTATTTGAAATAAAATTAAAAAATATCACAAAATAAAACAAAAATACATCATGATTTTTCTAATAAAACAAGAAATTAGATTGCGACTGGTGTACCTATATAAAAATGACGATTCATTATTCCTTGAGTAGCTAGAATAGAATAAAATATTAAAATGTTGACAATACCGTACATTCTTAATTTAAAACATATTGCCGGCCATTTTGTACACAGCTTTTTATGTAAAGGACGAAATTCAGAACTATGTTAACTTCTACGGATTTTTTTTACAATTTATGGGAATTAGTTTATACTTCTTAAAGATAATTTGCGAAGACGAGATATATTTTCTACATAATTTAATATATATTAATTGACAATTTACAATAATATGATTTCTTTTAATTTTACTACTATGATATAAGCTTTAATTTAAATTAATAATTATTTAATTTTTTACACTTTAATTACAGTCTACGTAGCATTATTTGAATATTGCCTACACTAATAATAATCCGGGAAATGTAAATTACTTGAAAAAAAAATTTACTATTACTTATAAAGATACATTTATGTATATAATGTGTAATGATAAAATATAATAATACTTTTAAAAATCTCATTGGAAGTCTTCCCAATAAATGTCATTTACATAATCAAAACCTTTTCTTAATACAAGTGATTTCAATTATTTGATAGCATTCTATTATGAGTTACTCTTAAAATTATCACATTTAACAATGGCGTACTAAACTCAAAATTCTACCTTACACAGTACTTAATAATTCTATATCGCATGACATTAGATTGAATTGCAGGATGTCAGGCGCCTATAAATTGAGTAAAATTGTCCTACAATATTGATTTTTAATATATTCTAATAATTCATAAACCCTACAACCCTGCAAGGCAATCTATGGGAAAGGCCAATGATCATCAGTGCACTTTGATAGGCTGTAATGATAATGATGTTGAAGTACATGTGAAAAATGATGGAGTTTTACTACGAGGAAATTATCTCAAGCATAAATTATATTATGTATATATTACAAATAGGTACATATTTATAAATATTCTTTATGTCGTGAAATATTTACAACGATTACTAATAAATGTTCACATAGTCTTTGTCTGTAGGACGTCATATTTAAATTCTACAAGCATTTAGCCTCAATCAAGCCATAAATTGACTAAAATAGTACTTTTTTAATACAATAACTTTACAGAATAATATGTACGTACGTATAGTACTTATCATACAATAAATGAAAAAGTTTTTTTTTGTTCTTATGCCAAAAATAAAAAGTAAATATTTATACAAAATAAATATCTATTATTGAACAAAACACCATGTATAACGTATAACATTAAGAGCGGCAACGTCGCCTTATTTTGTCATGGCGCTTTCTTTATTTGGTACAAGTCGAGGCACGTAAGTCTAGCGCTGAACGAAACAAGGATGCGCACGAATTGAAGAGTACGAATGCGAATGGAGAGCCAATCAGCGCGTGCGAACGATACGCAAGAGCCAATCAGCGCGTCTTATAAGCACAGTTTAAGGCCTTATCGAGCTTGTAATAAGTTATTTATCTACATCATGTTAAATAAAATTAAATGAAAATTTAATTTCGGCAACTATACTACTGATTATATTTCATTGATTTTAGCATACGATAAAAAAATCGCTGCATAGGATAAATCTTAATATACATTGTATGAGGCCCGTCGCCACCCTGTTTATTAAATCATTTATTTATAACGACGATCTTGATGTCTTTTACATGTTATTTAAGGATCTTATATTCACCACTAAAACATAATTAACATTTTAAAAATAATAATTGAATTTATGGCCATTGCCCACGTTCGCACGAGTTGCGGTTTGTTACGTCTATTGTTTTTTTTCTGAGGAAAATCTGTTGCTAAAAAGGTTACTGCTTTAATTACAATCGGTTAATTGATTGGATATCTTTTTATTGAATTAAATTAAGAAAATAAAGTTGCCAGTGATGACCTATGGAACTAAGACGTAGTCCTGCACTGCTGGCCGGATGAGGAAACTCAAGGTCGCTCAGCGAGGTATGGTGATGACTATGCTCGGAGTTTCTATGCGTGATAAACTTAGAAATGAGGATATCCGCAGTAGAACCAGAGTGACCGACATAACCGAACGGATTAATAAGCTGAAGTGGCAATGGGCCGGCCATATAGCTCAAAGAACCGACAACCAATGGGGAAAAAAGGTTCACGAGTGGCGGCCTCGTACCGGTACACGAAGTGTAGGGCATCCCCCCACTAGATGGAGTGACGACCTGGTAATACATGTAGGAAGTCGATGGATGCAGGTGGCATAGGACTGTACTTTGTGGCATTCCTTGGGGGAGGCCTATGTTCAGCAGTGGACTTGTGAAGGGATGTAATGATGATGATGATGAAAAAAATATAAATATCTTTTATTATTTCAGAGAAACTACGTTTCAACTACCAATTACATTAGAACAATCGAAAATTAACACAAAATACTGTTAAATATTTATGTTGTTATATGAAACCTATGACTGAGTTTATATTGAACAATAAAAACATTGTTAACATTTGTATATTAATATTTGAACACTGCATTAGTACAACTTAAAGCTATAAATAAATTAAAAAGCCTCATTAGTATGGTTTAGGTAAAAATTACCAAATTATTACAAAATTATTTAACAACAATAAATATCAAAGATGTCAACAAAATTGTAATTTAATAAAATATAAAAACAACAAAAATAAAATAATTATTTTCAACTATTATCTATTACAGAGTATACTTTAGAACATTTAGAATTTTATAATCTAATTCGTGACGTCAAAGTCCAAATTCCTAAGCGTCTAATAAAAATTTTAAGTTACAAGATAATAATATCGCCGTTTAGTAACCGATGATTCAAACGTTTAATTACACCTATTATCGACATATATTACATGCATCACGAGGCTTGAACACTGGTGCCAATACAAACTTTATTATAACTACAATAGCCTGCCTGAACAAGAAACCTAAAAACTCTTCAATATGGAAGCCTGTGGCAACATTATTATAGTAAAATACCTATATTGAATTTACTTTTTGTCTTTGTTGATCCTTTACTGAGTGTCACAACGAAATTTCGAATTTCAAAGAAGATTCTCATTTGTATGTAACACTAAAGATACTTTACACATAATATAAAATTAATTTCGCGAATATTCACAATATGGCAGAGGTTTATGTTCCTGGTCAGGCTATAATTATTTTTGTGATAATTTTTCAAATTTTTTCGTGTTAAAATACTCATATTTTAAGCTTAATATATCTTACTCCATAGTATTAATTAGCCTCAATACATATATACAAATTAGGTACATAAATAATTGAAACAACATAAAGTTGAAATCATGATGTCCACTCGCCAGCGTTCATTAATTGTGTACCATTTTAGTGATGTAACTTTAACAATAATACATTCGAAGAATACACATTTTTTTATAATTAGATATATTCATATTTACTGTAGAGCAAATGTTGTGGTATGATACAAATTTGGTTTGTTTTCGAACAAATTACGCACGGTAAAGTCGACCTTATAGACAACTGTATAAGCGAATGTTGGCCATACCGTAGCCGTAACTTTACCAACATTCCAATGTTCGCGCACGCACAAGATCAGTCCAACGTAGGGGCATAACACCCATAACATATTCATATCACACAAACACGCGTTCAACATGTGGATGCAAAGTTCAGGGCACCAGACTGGAGACGGTCGGTATGTGAACGGCCGTGTCTCATTGCGCCTTTGGTTTGTGAGACGAGTCGCTCACGAATATGAACGCGAATTCGGACCTCTCCTGAGCGAATGTTATGAACTCATCTGAAAATAACAGATTATGATAGAATTGGATTCGATTGTCTCTTTCTAGGGCAAGCGGAAAAACGAGCAGTGACCTTTGAGCGTATTGTAGAGATGACCAATTTTATTGTTACTTTTATTTTGTACTTGATTTTGTAATGAAATGTTTAATGTTCATAAATGAAACGTCTTAGCTCTCAATATAGTAACACAATTATTTGAAACTTTGATGATTGTCTAAACAGGTTTGTTATCTCTGAATGACTGCTACTTTTACCCGATCCTATACTACGTTACGTAGGAAGCGTATGCGATAAAGAAATGTATGGAGACCGTTTTCTGCCACGCCAGGTGTTTAATGGAAATCACAAGGATGATTCCACGAGGCTATTGCAATAAAAAACATCCTAACTTCAATAGAGAAGGTAGCTGGGTGTTACAATCTGCTTGGGATCCTAATACTAATAAAATTAAATCCCAACCCAAGCATACAACTGCAAGACTTCAAGATAGTATAAGTTCATACTGTCTAGATCGGACCAAAAAATAATAATTTTTATCTAGCCGTAGTTAATAATTATGACATTGGGTAACGTAAATCCCTTGAAAATAAAATTTGTTAATACACACGATAAAATCCGTAAAAACTAGTTACATTTATATATGTAGTGTTCGCGTAAATATAAGAAATCATATTACTAAGAGTTTTTATGTATTTTTACACCTGCCCCGAATATAGACTTTAGTATATCTTCTTGTTCTTCTTTACCAGTCCATAACATTAAACTAATCCATAAGATATTTACTACAAATCAAAACCGAACAACCAACAACCGACGGGAGGGAAAGATTCTCGAACCGCACAGATAAGCAGAGTGTAGGTCGGCCCCAAAATAAATAGACTGACGACCTGGTAAGATATACAAAAAGTCGGTGGATGCAGATGGCTTTGTGGAACTCCTTGTGGGGGGCATATATTCAGCAGTGAACTTGTGACAGGCTGCAATGATGATGATCATTGCAGCCTGTCACAAGCTTGTCGCTCAAAATCGAAATCGTCATGATTATTTATTTATTTATTTATTTAAAATCTTTATTGCACTTAAGATGTACAATTGGCGGATTTAATGCCTTTAGACATTTTCTACCAGTCAACCACAAGCTAAGCAGAGAAACTTAAGCAGGTGCCATCAAAACTTGAGAAAATATACGTGAATGTAAATATAAACATACACATACTATACTTGTAAATACAAAAACAAATATATGTAACTACAAATAACCTAAATAATATAGTCTATATATGATACATAAACATACGTAATGTTAAACAATACATAATACATACATTTTAAGCATACTTACATACAAACATATTATACAAAAACAATTTAAGTAATTTATAATACACTTATGCAGAAACATTTAAATAAGAAGGTCAGTTGCTGAAAGAAGAAAGGTAGTGATCAGTCACAATTCTTTTAAAGGCAGCAACAGGAGTCGGTTTCCTGATATGAGGAGGTAATTTATTCCATAGCCTTATGGCCTCAGCGGCGAAAGACTGAGACATAAATTTAGTACGGCGAGGAAAATCACATAAAGTCCTCGGAGGATCTCAGGTTACGATCGTGGGAAGAACCCAAATACTGAAACTTGCATTTCAGGTATTGGGGAGTGCATGGATCATATAGGATTGAAAATAGCGTGCGAAGAATCCTGATATATCTACGCTTATGGATAGGGAGCCATTTAAGCTTAGAACGATGTAAGGATACATGATCGTATTTACGAAGGCCAAAAATAAAACGGATACAATTATTTAACAAACGATCCAATTTCACATCAGGGTAACATTATTGCTACCTTCCACCACGTTAATTACGAGTATGAGGCGATCAGACAAATGTACTCTTCTTAAGCCATCGTTTTGTAGAGGCACAGGTGCCCAGTTATCTGTCGTGACGTTCGCAACGGCCTGGTGCAGCATAATTCTACGTCAAACCGTTTTAATTTTGCGTAATATGCGGACAAACGAATCCTATCACAACCGCTTTCATTTGAATTTTTCAGACCAGCATGGTGGTGAGCAGGGAGTGCTCTTAAGATATCGACAAAGCGTACCTTTTGTATAAAATAAGGGTGACAAGCGAACATTTAATCCACCTGATAATAAGTAGATTGAGATGCTGCGGCCCATAGACATCTGCATCTATCCTCGATAAAGAATCAAAATTAAAATGCGTTAACACCTCTGAGGATTGAAATGGAATGCCTTGGAACCAGTTAAAAGGGTCTCCTGTTCTCTACACTCACCATACGTAACATTTGAGAGCGTGGTCCTTCCCCAGTCAAGCCTTCGTGCTACAACCATAATATAGCTTGACTTTACCACATACTATACGTGCACAACTTTAGCATTTAATAATTTTATGGCCGTGACTACCGCCTTATTCTTCCAAACTCCTAAATAGCACGTTAATGCGATCCAATGATGACAGGCTCACCGTAAGTCAAGTAGCCTTTCTCGTCCAGGTCCGCTTGCCGGAAAGTGTTCTGAGCATCCTCTTGACACAGACCTAGACACCTCGTCGCCAGCTCCTCGAAATTGGACATTTTCAAGCGACCGTTGCCGCTTGTGTCATATAACTGAAAAAATGGGATATGCATTAAAATCGGTTCCGCAATTATATTGTGTATGGCAGTCTCCTTGGGCTATTGGTTGTAAGCGCGACAGCAATTCATGTGATCCCAGGTCCGAATTCTGGGTCGGGCCAAAATCATTTATTGGGTTTTGAATTTTGATGTTAAGAAATTTTCAGTAGCAGCCTGGCATCAGGGATTTGGCGGTGTTTCACCCCCGCGCTCGGAAAGCATGTAAAACCTTAGGACCTATGCCTGATCTCTCTCCGGTCGTGTCGGATTACCGCCCCATCTGAATATGAGAGATAGGGAATAGAGAGTGCACCTGTGCTTGCGGATACACCCAGACACTATAATCTTGTCGTGAGCAGATTAGAATAGAATAGAATAGAATGGAATAGAACAGAATAGAATATTTTTTTATTCAATATACAATACATGTGTAATTCTTATTGAAAGTCATTTTATACTTTACCACTGGTTCGAAAAAAAACCTATGTCCTGGGAAGCACCAGCAAGAAACACAGCGGGCCTTTTTTAAATAAATTTTACAATATAAATGATTACGAACTATTTACAAAATTTATTTTAGAAACTGCTTGGAAGCGACCACCTCATTCCCAGGGGTTATTATCAACCGTGTATTCATTTATACTATAATAACCCTTTTTATACAGTTTCAGCTTAATAAAACATTTAAACTTGGTAATAGAGAGAACCTGTACACTTAGCTTGCGAGGAAAAGAGACTACCTGCGGTGTTTTCTTATGCCATTTCTACTGCAGTCCACTGACATAAAGATCAGTACGAGTACTATACGAGTGAGTAATATACGAGTACAAGTACGCTGGACTGGCTATGCCATACAAAATGCTTGCCGATTTGAAGCGCCCTCATTGTCCGTACCGGGAACTAAAATTGACATAATATGCCAAAGTCCTGTTGTATTATTTAAATCGTATCTCGGTAGTTTGAATTTTAAAACTAAAAATGAAAGTATTTTATGTGGTTTGATTATGTTTGATTTTAGTTACATAATAAGAATTATTTTTAGTAATAATGAGTGTAAGTAATATGTAAAACTCGTTACAAAAAGGAAAGTTGGATAACATTTCACAAGTAAGTTAATTTACAGCTAATATTAAACAAATTAAAACTATTTGATAATATAGGTACTTAAAAGTTTGTTACTAATCTTAATATCGTAATTACCAACATGTTTGGCTTTATATTACTGAGTTTAAACAATAAAATTCAATAGTGTTGTCGAGTTCCTTGTCTATAATACTTATCGATGTTCTTTTCTACCCATATCAGTTCACAGCCATCTTACCTAGTACTAGAACCTAGACTAAAATTATGGCTAAAAAGCACAACAATTGTGAATTGGCGTCCGAAACAAAATGATTATCTTTGTTCTAAACACTTCACGTTTTATTGGATATGAGAAACGCACCACTTTCCTGGTCGCCTGATGTGTTTTGTTTCAGTGACTTTGTTTGTTCTTATAACCAATTTATTGTGTCAAGGGAATAAATTTATATTGGAACTGCAAAATTATTATTGTCCTTAATGAGTTTGCGTGAGTTTAGGTAAGGACTCACATGGCTGGCCCGAAGAGAAGGGCTGGCCCAAGGTGGCCACTCTGAGCAGACTTGACGAGCCCTTGGATGTGTGTTAGTGAGCTGCGGCTAGAGGAGAGTCCTCTCTCTATATCGCTGCGACCGAGGTGGAGTCGCAAGGGAGGATTGTTGGTATGGTAATGCGCCACTCGACTATCCTCCGCGACTTTGGCGGGACTGTACCACTTGATGCTTCCGAGTGTTCGTTTTTTCTTGGCTCCATGCCTCCACATATTGGGCTCGGGAAGTCGGGGAGGTAAGTCTTCAACTAAGGAAGCGTCCTCGCTGGTGGGGCCGCGGATGTGTTTGAAAGCGTTTCCATACCTATCTCAAAGTTTGGTGAAGGTGGAACATTATGGGGTTTTAGTGCAAGTCCGAGATAAACCGTTCTTGACCCCACAATGCAGGTATGCGTAGACTTTTTCTCATTTGAAACCCGGAACAAAATCAGTTCTGTAGTTACGAATAAAAACGTAGATAGATCAACGCAGCGTCGATTTTTGTTTTATATGAGTATAAAGCTTACATTTATTTTTTGTATGGCATTATATTAATATGATAAATAAATAGAATGTACGTTACGGGTAGGCCTGGGTATAGAATTCTTATCGATATATTTTTTCACAGTGTCTTATCTCTATTATTAGTTCCGTAGACGTGCACTTCTGCTGTCAGCGCCAAAATGGCGAAAATCAAATCGCCTCATTATGTCACGGTGTATAGCCAGTCCATATATAGAGGTCAGTGACTGCGGTTAGAGGAATATCATTTTGAAAAGGTACTAGATTAAATTAAATAATTTGACAAACAATATTCTTAATTTATTTCCTTCTAGTTGCACTACCCCTCCCCTTCTTCCTTATAAATCTTAATATGAGTAATCTTTCTTACCGAGAATAGCATTAGTATATGACTATCACTGAATTAAATAAAGTTAATCTATACTATATATAATATAATAAAGCGGAAGAGTTTTTTGTTTTTTGTTTGTTTAAACGCGCTAATCTCTGGAACTACCAGTCCGATTTGAAAAATTCTTGTTGTATATTATATCCTGATTCATGTGGAATAGTATAGGCTATCTAGAATTAAGCTATATAACTCAGCTAGCCTTAAATATAGATATTTGTTAAGCAAGTCAGTAGAAGAAGCACTCCCGAAATGATTTATCTGCGTACGCTGGTGTTATCGTTAGGGATACGTAAATACAATGTTCTAGAAAAATATAGATCTTTACTCCGTTTAAAAAAAAAGTCCGCGATACCATATGTCTATTTCTTATACATAAGCCATAATTAGGTATTTTGTGACAAAAATATTGAAAAATTAAAAGTGATTTATGAGCGTTATTATTAGGCATGGCCTATTTATTCTTACGAACGAAAGTTACTTCATCATCAAGACAATTTTATGACGATAAACTTTGTTCTTTATACTGAGTGAGAACTGCGAGAACTGCTCAACCGGGAGGGGGAGGGAAAGTGGATAAAACTTAACTTCGCTCTACATCATACATAATATGCCGACAGATAAAAGTACCAATTATTCCATCTATTGCTATCAAATAAAATATTTAATTGCAATTATAAAATGCTTGAACTAGGTCATGTCGCGCACCTCCGACACGTGATGACGCGGATGAAACCGCGGTGCACAGCTAGTTTTACTATAATCAGGACGTCAAACACCTCAGCCCCCGTGACCACGGGTGCTGGAAAGCACCCGAAACGTCGGGAATATAAAATAAGTTAATATACGCGATAAAATCCATAAAATTAGTTTTATTTAAATGTGTAGTATTCACGTAAATAAAATAAAACATTAAATAAAGTTAATAAAATCAGGCATTAATTTAGAATCCATTATAGCGAAAATCCGTTATATTAAATTTGTTGTAAAAACCGTAATGCATTACGCGGATATAAGCAAATTAATGTTTAATAACTTTAATAAATAAAGTTAGAAATTTGCTCGTTTACCGGTGAAACAAATTACCTAACGGTATTCATTTAACTAACCGGTATTTTTGGAATCTTTTCTATACCTGTTTTAAAGTATACTCCACTGGCATGCATAACTGCATCTAAAATGTATCCGTACTACGCTGGGCACACGAGTTTGTCATGAACAGAAATTGTAACAATATATACAAAATGTCTCACCTTGAATGCGTATGAGAGGAGTTTCGTCAACGGTTCATGTTGTGTGGACAGGAAACAGGCGCACAGCAAGTAGTCCGGGAAGTACACCAAGCCACTCGACCTCTGCGAATTTACTTTATAAATAACACAAAACTAATGTTTCTCATATACAACGTGGCCGCTACTATCGTGACTTTAATTTAACACACGGGTAGGGCTAGTGCCCATTCATATATAATAAAATAACTCGCCGCAGAGTACATACAGCGGAGGTGTTTAGTCAAACACTTATCATATCACCCTGTCTTGTTACCATTAGTTATAACTGTCTAGTGATGAACATCACTGCTTTTATTTGAATTTATTTTAAACTAGCTGTTCCTCGCGACGTGTTATTTGGGGTTTTAATTTTATTACGCGGAACCCTAATTATTTTTCAAAAATAAACGTATTCTAAGTTACTCCTTGTGACATCAGCTATCTGCCAGTGAAAATCCCGTCAAAATCGGTCCAACCTTTTCGGAGATTAGCCGGAACAAACAGATAGACAGACGAACAGATAGACAGACAGACAGACAGACAAAACTTGTATTTTTGTTATTAGTACCCTATATACTTTCATATGCATTTAGTAAAATGCTGAAAATTTGATATTACAAACAGATACTTCAATTTTATTTATTTGTATATACAGGCTGTTTTTGGAACGCTCCCGAAAACTAAGACAGGCGACAGCACCAAGTATACCTTTGATCATGGGTCACAAATATATTTGATCCTAATGAAAAAAAAAATCATATTTTTACAACGTTTTATTAGCTTTATTCACGCGCCATCATGTTAGTACAGCTAAATGAAACGACAATTTCATAAAAAAAATCAGGAAAATACTGAAACATAAAACCAGCAGTGGAAACTGAATTGATATCACCTGACTAATGGAGGTTAATGTACGAGCGAACGGTGAAAAAGGAACGCTGGCCTTGAACTTGGGCACTGAGCGATTTATCACATATTGGTACGAAGGGGGCGCGACGGGGGAACAATCCACCAGTATTACTGTGCCGGCATGCTATTGGTTCCCGCGCTTTGTTCGCTCCAAAAATACAGTCGCATACACAGCTTACTTTGTGACTCGCGACGATGTTTTAAAAAGGAAGGAAAGAAAAATTATTTATATCTATTGTTTTATGACTGAACTAGTGAACGAAAAGGTAAATATGATAGGAGATGGTGAATGGGGAAAATTGTGCAATAAAGTTAAAAGTGTTGAGGAAGAATACCGAAAAACTTACCATGTGATCGACCTGATGACGGAAGCTCAAGCGAAGATGAAAGTGATGATGAAGTAGCATCCAGTAACACCAACACACCATCAACATCTGGCTTCCATGTGACCCAAGACGACATAATGGACGGCGTGTCACCCTTAGCTTAAGTTTTCTTGTTACAAACTACTTTATATTTTACGATAGAAATAACAAATAATGCTTAAGTAAACATTATCCATTTTTAATTCCAACCTTTTCCAAAGTTCTAAGTAGCTAGTAAAGCACCTATTATGATTCTACAATAAAACAATTAATTACTATAATATTATAAAACAATATCCCAATACCATGTAGTACTTTAGAACGCGACTGTAACTACACTGTCGACCTGTATCTAGCTCGGTGCGAAACAATGCTGCCGTCATAAGAAAAAAGGGCGCATCTAACAATTTTTGAATAAATGAGTTAAATATACCATTCGACTCATGATAAAAAGGCGCATCTACTAAATTTTTTAATATTCAAAAATATCAATATTTTAGAAAATATCGTAAGAATTTTAGACGTAACTGTTGATCACAGATGACATTTTTTTTAGTAGAAAAGACTTATACAAATTATGGAGTGTAGAGTACAAGGAGAACCATCTTATAAGGGGCGAAAGTTGAAAAAGTGTCCTACTATTTACTGAAAATAGAGGTTCCAAAACCTACCACAATAGCGCTGTGGTTTGAAAAACTACGATATGAAGATAGCTGTTATGGACGGAGTGAAGTCAGCTGAATTCAAATATTTAAAAAATTTCATGACTAGAGTAGTTAGTAAAATGCCAGTACACAAAATCTCAACTATTTACGTAGTACAAAACCGAGCGGATTAATCGGTCCTTGTTTATTTCTCCATCTTACTCTAATTACTTTTGGCGCTTTTTTTAATTTATCCTATACTACTGCAGCGCCACCCTTATTCGACACGTTTTTAGGGACACTTTTCATAGTATAGAGATGGTCCTTCTTCTCTCTACACTCCACAATACAAATTCGACATAAAAGAAAAGACTTATTTAACCAGTTGCTACGTCATCTTTAACAATATTTGCATCGATTACTTAAATTTCGATTATTCTTGTCTTATTATTATTAAGAGCTTATATCTTATTATTAAGAGCTGGTGTTTCACATGTCGTCCCATATAAATTTGATCGAGGTCAGACCAATAGTTTTTGAGTTATCCTTAATTATTTATATTGAAGTCGGTTGTAAAAATGTTTAATTTTTAATTATTATCGTAGTAAGTCTGGTATGATATCTCCTTTAAAATCATAACTCAAGTTGCGGGTTGTTATTTTATGTGTCTCACTACCAATGCTTTTCTAATATTTACTAATAATAAAAAAGTAGTAAATTACTATTAGCGTCCTTTCAAAAAAAATTCATCTATTTATTTTTTATTTCGATTTTACGTTTTTGTTAGTTGCGTCCTTCTTTATTATGACGGCAGAATGCCTAACCCTGTCGCCTCACGCTTGTGACGCAGTAGGTTTCAGCCTTGGCGGGGTTCGTTCGTTTTAGTTTTTGAGACAGTTCCGTGTTGATTTTGTACACGCGTGCGCGAGCGACAGTTCAATCGTTTTGTTTAATAAATTTACTTGTGATTACGTGTTCATATTATTGTTGTTGTTACGTTTTTGGATTCTTTTTTGTTTTAATAATGCCTAACGCGTACGTTTATAGTGCTCAACATGTTAGGTATCCGAACCTAGGTACACGAAGTATCGCTAAATAAATTGTTAAGACGTCGGGATGGAACAAGTGTGTCATACTTTGCAGTGCACAAAGTGTTGAAGCGTAACCGGATGCGCCCATACAAATTGCACAAAGTGCAAGCTTTAGTTCCCGGCGATCACGACCGCCGACGAGTTTTCTGCCGTTGGTTATTAAACTAGCAACAACGTGTGCCTGGTTCCATTGAGCACATTATCTGGACGGATGAGTCAACATTTACCAGAAACGGCCTGTGGAACCGAAGAAATACACACGTGTATTCAGAGGTTAACCCGCACGCTGTTCGACAAACTGGGCACCAAACCCGATGGTCAGTTAACGTATGGGCAGGTATTAAGGATCGCATACTGGGACCAGTGTTTCTGCCACAGCGACTGAACGGACAGCGATACCTAAACTTTATAAGTGAACAGTTGGTTGACATTTTAAACGACCTATCGTTGGCTGAATATCGCCGACCATGGTTCCAGCATGATGGTGCACCTCCACATGTCGTGAGGTTCGTCTGTGAGCGCCTCACCGAATTATTTGATGATCGCTGGATTTGGCGGACTAGGACCACTCGGTTGGCCACCTTGCTCGCCAGATCTGACCCCGTTAGACTTCTTTCTGTGGGGGTATGTGAAAGAAAGGGTTTTTAATTGTGAGTGTGATAGTGCTGACGAAACTACAAAAGGATCGTGGATGTTTTCGACCAACTACATACGGACTGTGTCCAAGACTACACGATGATGCCCCGCCTGCATGAGGAGATGCAACACCGAGCCCAAATCTGCCTTGAAATGAATGGAGCACAATTTGAGCCGCATCTCATAAGACCACGGAGGATTTAGAGCGGTAAGCTGTTTCATACCTATTTTTTTTTAAATAACTTAGTACTGGACTAATCTGAATAGGTACATAACTGAATACATGAGAATAATAAACATACCTGCACGATGAATAAAAACGCATGACTCCAATCTTGGTTACATTTCATTAATTTAAGTATTTTTTCATTAGCGGGGAATCGAACCAGTTATTTGGGTTATTTAACCTGTAAATTCGTATTAAAGTGGCTACGTGGAGACAAGTACAGTGGCAAAATAGTAGGTTAAGTAGATAAGTTAGGTATTAAGACAATTGTTGTAAATTATTAGGTGATGTGGTATGGCCCGCTAGTTGCGGGCAGCGCGAATTTGCGTTCGCGCGTACATTGACCTCAAGTCAGCTGATATCAATTCAGTAATTCCACTGCTGGTTTTATGTTTCAGTATTTTCATGATTTTTTTATGAAATTATCGTTTCATTTAGCTGTACTAACAAGATGGCGCGTGAATAAAGCTAATAAAACGTTGTAAAAAGATGATTTTTTATCATCAGGATCGAATTTATGTGTTACCCATGATCAAAGGTATACTTGGTGCTGTCGCCTGTCTTAGTTTTCGGGAGTGTTCCAAAAATACCCTGTATAAATGAGTGGTGGTCTGGCGATCTTGCTGGCCACCTATGAGGTCCAAACCTACCAATGCATTGTGCACCAAACTTGTCATTTAGCCACTGCCTGGCTGTTATTACAGAGTGTGCTCGCGCGTCATCTAATTGGTATCACATTCGTTGGTATCGATGGACGTTTAGGTTGTTTGTGTATTCTAATACCGTATCATTTAGTAGATTAACAAACCTTTCTCCATTCAAAGCCCCCATCAATGAATACGGGTCCGATGATGTTGTCACAGTGAATAGCTGCCCAAACATTTACCAAAAATCTGTACTGATGGGCTGAATGCCGCCACACGCGCGGATTTTGGTTTTTGGGTGCCCAATGGTGCAGATTGTACTGGTTCCACATGACGTTTCTGGTGACCGTGCTTTCGTCAGTCCAACAAATTTGGGAAAGAAGGTCACTGTCCTCTTCAATTTTACTCAGTAACCACTGACAATAATTCACTCTTATTAATTTATTACTTTTCTAAACTTGAATGGGTTCCACTTTTCGCGCTTTAATATCCTATGGACGGTTCTGTGAAGGGACTTGAAAATAGCGCTCTGGCGGAGGCTAGTTTTGGGTTGGTTTTAGACATATTGTATCACATTTTCAGTTAACTGGATTGGATCCTGTCGTGTAGGCGGTCGATCAGGGCGTCGAGACTTAGGATCTACTGGCCGGTTTTCGCGGATGCGCTGAAGAGCTCCTACAATAGTGCGAAGATGAGTAGGGCATTGTCTTGAATGGCCATATCTCTCGCGATTTGTCCTTATCGCAAGGGCGGCATTTTGACGACATTCTCCCTAAGTTAGGATCATGATCGCATATTCAGCTGCTGTATAGTTCGGATCCTGTGCGCTGCCCGCTCGCCGACAAAGGGATGTCTCTTTCCTTCAATACTATTGCTTATTCGTTTTAATTTCAATGATGCGATTTTAAGCTGAGATCAAACTATCGGACGTGTCCGTCAGCCGCGGCTGATAGATGCGGCTTAGCGGTGTGCACGGTAGTCGAGACGACATCTTCGGACGCCTCACTTCAGTCATTCTGTAAAGGTTTTTCAATCGAGAAACATGACAAGCAGCGATAGCGAGGACGAATTTATGCCGCTAACTATAAATTCGTTGCCTTATGTAGTCCTCCAAAAAAAAAGTAAAAAGGAGTGTTTGGGTCCATGATATTAATATAAAACGACTCGAGTATGGTGAATTTCATACATTGTATCCATACCTATAAAAAGAAGATAAATGTTACAAAATGCACTTAAGAATGAATGAAGACCAATTTAATTTTCTGCTTAGTCTGATTAAAAATAATATCTAAAAACAAATGACACAGTTTCGGAACCCCATATCTGCAAAGGAGCGTCTAGTGGTGATAATGTAGCATCAGAGCACATAGGCAGAATTGGCGAGAAACTAGTTCGCCTACCTTCGGGAACCCGTGCATTCTGGTCTCTCGCCAAGGCTGTCCAAGGGAATTTCTGTAAGCCATCACTACCATCTCTGCACAGGGAGGATGACTCACTGGCCCATGACGCAAAAGACAAAGCCGACCTTTTAGGCTCCCTTTTTGCGTCCAACTCGACTCTTGATGACGGGGGGAAAACACCGCCGACCATCCCGCGTTGTGAGTGCTCCATGCCGGATATGCTGTTCTCACAGCGCTCGGTTCGCAAAGCACTGCTCTCCCTGGACATCCAGAAGTCGAGTGGGCCTGACGGAATCCCCCCAATTGTGCTGAGGACGTGTGCTCCGGAGTTGGTACCGGTCCTAACGCGTCTCTTCCGGTACTCCTACTCCCAAGGCGTAGTCCCGAATTCATGGAAGACAGCTTTTGTCCACCCAATCCCTAAAAAAGGCGACCGCTCAGATCCATCCAACTATAGGCCTATCGCGATCACCTCCTTGTTCTCCAAAATAATGGAATCCATTATTAACTGCCAGCTCATCCGGTACCTTGAGGATCACCAGCTGATTAGTGACCGCCAATACGGTTTTCGTCGGAGTCGATCAGCTGGTGATCTTCTGGTCTACCTGATCCATAGATGGGCGGAGGCAGTAGAGTCCAAGGGGGAGGCGTTGGCCGTTAGTCTGGACATTGCGAAGGCCTTCGATCGGGTTTGGCACAAAGCGCTTCTTTCGAAGCTCCCTTCCTATGGGCTTCCCGAGAAATTGTGCAATTGGATCACCAGCTTCCTTGCAGATCGGAGCATCAAGGTCGTTGTAGACGGTGCATGCTCTGACTACAAGCCTATTAACGCTGGTGTTCCTCAAGGCTGTGTGCTATCACCAACGCTGTTTCTTCTGCATATCAATGATATGTTGCTAACTGGTAACATTCATTGCTATGCGGATGACAGCACTGGTGATGCTCTATACACCGGCCGTGCCAATATTTCTCGGGAAAACGTCGCTGAGTACCGGAACAAACTTGTGTCTGAAGTCGAGTCTTTGCTGAGCAAAGTCTCGGATTGGGGGCGACTAAATCTAGTCCAGTTTAATCCTCAGAAGACACAAGTTTGCGCGTTTACCGCTAAAAAGAACCCCTTTGTCGTATCTCCTCAGTTTCAAGGCACTCCCCTTCTTGCCTCAGCCAGTATCGGTATCCTCGGAGTCGACATATCGAGTGACGTGCAGTTTCGTGGTCACTTGGAAGGGAAGGCCAAATTGGCCTCTAAAAAGCTTGGCGTGCTCAGCAGAGCGGGACAGTATTTCATGCCGGCACACCGCCTGCAACTTTACAAGGCGCAAGTTCGGCCTCACATGGAATACTGTTCCCATCTCTGGGCAGGGGCTCCCCAGTGCCAGCTCCTTCCACTTGACCGCATCCAACGCAGAGCTGCTCGAATCGTCGACGACCGAGCCCTTTCCGATCGGCTCGATTCATTGGCAATGCGAAGGGATGTTGCATCCCTTTGCATTTTCTTTCGCATCTACCATGGGGAGTGCTCTGAGGAATTGTTCGGATTAATCCCAGCCTCCAAATTTCACGAACGCACATCGCGGCCGAACTCCCGATACCATCCACACCATCTGGATGATTGGCGGTCCACCACTGTGCGATTTGAAGATGTTTTCTTCCTCGCACGACCTCCTTGTGGAATCGATTACCATCAACGATTTTTCCGGACCGATACGACTTAGGGACCTTCAAGAAAAGAGCGTACTCCTTTTTAAAAGGCCGGCAACGCATCTGCGATTCCCCTGGTATTGCAGTTGTTCATGGGCGGCGGTAGTCACTTACCATCAGGTGAGCCGCATGCTCGTTTGCCCCCTCTCCTATAAAAAAAAAAATTATAGTGCTGCAGTTTGTGGTTATACAGGCATTCGTGGCCACGTACACATTCAATTAATTTTTCTTCATTAGACATGTCGCGAGCGCGGTTGGTTCGTTTGTGACAGTGGAAACGTCCGCGGACGCGCCCTGTGCACTGTTTACACCGTCCGCGGACGCACAAACATCCAGCCGGCTAGGTTCTGTTCGGACGTCTGAACGCTCAAGAGCGACGCAAGGTCACATCCGCGTCTTACGACCGATAGTTTGTAGTATTAAATGTACAGGCTAGATTTTAATAAGCCGCGTCTGTCAGCTGCGGCAGACGGACTCGTCCGATAGTTTGTTCTCAGCTTTATGACCCGTGACCCCGGCAAATGACCGCTGCGCGACAGTTCTCTAAGTACAGATTGCTCTAAGATACTATTTTCTAAAATTTTAACTAAATCCGTAAATAATAACGTTCAATGGAAATGCAATTTCTTCATGAAACGAAAATGTGAAAACGTATATGTGTGTTAAATTAAAGTTACCATTGTTGCTGCACGTTGTATAATGCATTTATGTATTATGTTAGCAGACCTAGGGGGTGGGGGGATCAATATTTCCTATTTTTTATAGGTACGGGTGACAAACGAGCACACAGTCCACCTGATGGTAAGTGGTTGCTGTGACCCATAGACATCTACATCTATCCTCAATAAAGACTCAAGATGCAGATGCGTTGTCACCCGTGAGAACTAAGATGGATGCCTCTTTGCCAGTAAAAAGGGTCTCCGGTTCTCTACACTCACCATACGAAACACAGCAGCGTTAAGCTGCTATTTTACGCTGGTTTTCTGTGAGAGCGTGGTCCTTCCCCGTTCGAGCCGACCCATTCGTGCTACAACCATAATATACTCGTAGCTGCAGCATGGCTCTACAACGTAGAAAACCTTGCTTTTACTGACAAAAAAAGTGAAAACGAGTATAGCAAGGCACAGTTTATCGACCCTTGTTTACCTACGCCTCGTTAAGTGTACATACATTATGTCCAAAATTACTAAAATGAAATAAATTTCCTGTACCTCACATTGAAGTAATATGTACTATACTCGTATACTAGAAGAAACACCGAAACTTGGTTGATTGCAGCATGCGTTAGAGCCCCGGGCTAAAATTTACTTATACTAGAATTGTTTTGTCCGTGCAGTTTGGGTCATAAATCATCGGAGTATTTCGCTCTCTCTCCCACTCATGGGCCTTAGGGGCGAGCATAGTGATGCGCAGTAATGTTATCGATAAGCGTTATCGATAGTGTATTTAGTTTTTGTCATTATGTGGGTTAGTGATAAAAATGAAAAAAAAAACAGATAAAACAACATATTTATTAAAATAAGAATAATAATGATTTAAAATAAATTATTAATTAGATATCTATGTATTAAAAACTATAAGTACAAATGTCTGGAATGTAACAAGTTATATTAAAAATAAATATAAACATTCTAAAATTAAATATGTTGTTATCGATAATGGCGTTGCGCCCGCGCTACATGCTCACCGCTCTAGCCGGGCTGAGGCCGAGCTATGATTTATGACCCCAATTGCACGCACAAAATAATTTTACTATAATCTGTACCATGAAAAGGTACTCTGTGCCTCCGACCACACGCCCGCAGATTTTGTTCGCGGCGCCTGTTCTAGTACGTAGTACGTTAGTTCAATAGTAGCTAAACTACTGAATGTATTTGATTGATTTTTTGTGTACAATAATAAATATATATAGAGTTGCTCGTATCATTTATTGTGTTTAACGTAGCACCACCCGGTATACTCTAATGTGGCCACAGGTCTAAGTTCCTTGTGTTGGTTTTTTGTATCTGCATAGTGGCTTATCGTGATTGAAAGCGGTTGAAAAGAGACTATTATATAGAAGAGCGCGATAACAGACCTGTACAAACATGTCGAAGAGCCTGTGACAATATGTATCGTTGGGTATGCCAAGCCTCTGCGCAAATTCTTCGCGAGTGAGCCATCGCGCTTTGCCCTGCAAGCCCTGCTCCGCTAATTGTAGCTCCAGCATCGATCCCTCCAAGCTGCAATAAAACACACAGATTAAAAGTAAAGAATAGAATAGAATAATTTTGGATGAAATTATTCTATTCTTTATACATAGTCTACAAGAATTACTTATTGAAAACCATTTATGCTTTTACCACTGGTTCGGATAAAACCTCAGCTCTGGGAAGAAACAGCAAGAAACACAGCGGGACTTTATTTTAAAAATTAATGTACAATATAATGTGTTGTAAAAATAATTATGAAAGCATTTAGAAACAACATGGTAGCAACTACATTTACAATACAATTGTTATACTATTATTATATTTATGTTACACTAAATAAAAATATATTAATAAAGACTACAATATAGTCTTTAATAGTATAACAACCCCTATTAAACAAGTTCTGATTAGTAAAAATTTTAACTTTTTGAAAGATAGGTCCTGCATATTTTCTGAGATTTTTTTTTTGTATAACCGTTGCAAAGCGTTATATGCATTACTCCATGAAAGGAATTAAAAATTAATGACTTTAGAGTCGAGTTACTAATATAAGCACCTTGTGCTTGTTCTTAGTATGATTATATATGTATTCTGTGGTATTACAAAATCCAATCACCGTTTTTTTATTTTTTTATTTTTTTGCCTATTTTTATGTATTTACTAGCTGAACCGGCGAACTTCGTACCGCCTATGTTCGCGCCAAACATTGTCAAGAATCGACGCCAGATGTCACTCGGCTCGGCGCGATACCGGTTTGAAGTTCGGCCGAGCGTGGCAAGAGCGCGCGGGTCGCGACAAAAAAGGCGGAGTCGTCTGTCAGCTGTGCTTGGAACAGCACGCTGTCATTTTGTCGGGAACTCGGAATAATTCGGCGCGGCCAGTAAATATACGGTCTACCATTGTGACGCGCATTCCTGCTGGAGAGCTTCCCAGAGACTCATTGTATCTGACTCAGAATCCGCATAAGTGCATTCGGCAATATTAGCTAGTGCGGCCTCTGATATTCTAGAACTAACTGTTGCGACGCGAAACGGTAGTGATCTTTGATCCGTAAACTCCGTATGCGTTTTGTGCGTTAACCTTATAACCCGCGATAGTTAGTGGCTTCTGTAAGTTAGTAAATCGTACGATAGAGTTAATTGACTGTCATCGTGACGAACGAGGAAAGTGACTGTGGTCCGGCGCCGAAGCAGTCTGAAGCGGTGCAGCATTTTGGAGCAGCCTGGAACTCGGCAGCGGCTGGTCGCCTATGCTTGACAAGGCCCCACACATTCACACCTCACTGTACACTACTCGCCATCCACTATTACACACACTCACGGCCTGCCCAAGCCTTGGTGCGAAGTTAGCTTCGGATAATGATAATTACTATGTCTTTCTAGCGTCCTCCCATCTGGTTTATTGTAATTAGGAATTTCCACGTGGCCATATTCTGGCCCCGTCCCTCTGCTGCTTGTCGACGGGATTACTCATGGGCCCTAATCCCGTCAGTCTTGGTTGGGGCAGCTAGGGGCGTGTACAGCCTAACTGTCGAAATTTTTTTTAATTTTTTTTTAATACTTATTCTGCTATTAGAAACACCGGGTCAGCTAGTAAGATAAAAAGGAAAAAAGAAAGTTAATAAGTCATCAATTACATTATGTCAAAAAATAAAAATTATAAAACACTTAAAATTCTTTTGATAGTCATTAAAAATCACAATGAAAATTACAAATTCTGATTTCTTATTAGGATACCCACTTATTATATTTCATTTTATTTTTACTTCTTCTAAATTAAGTTTCCATCGTATAAATATTGACAAATATTTACACGATACGATACGATACGATACGATATAATATTTTATACGATACTAACGTCACTCAAACGTTTTGCCTTCCTGAAACTCCTCCACTAACAATTAAATTTTATGGTATGGTATTAAAGTTCAAATTGACTTTTAAGTATTTTTACGAATATTTTGTATAGGAATGTAGAAAAGTGTTGTTTTTAGACTTTTCATGCATTTTTTTTTCAATTTTTTCTCTCCGTAAGAACCATCTTCGTACTTCAAGGAATATTATAAAAAAATTAGAATAAGGAATATTATAAAAATAGAATTAGCGAAATCGGTTCAGCTGCTCTCGAGATTTGCGCTTAGCAACACATTCAGCGATTCATTTTTATATTATAGATGTGTATTTGCCTATATACGTTTCATTCCTAGGCATAGGCCTTCCTCTCGTTACTGAATAGTTTTTAGAGAAAGGAAGTCTCCATCGCGCTATCAGATGTCTTTTTTTTATTTCTCAAACATGCAGTTGTTCTAATGATATTTTTCTAGACAGCCGAACGCGAAGTAAATCAGCACTTAAAATTGTAATTAACAATTTCGTCGGTGCAAGCGCGGATCGAACCCAGGTTGCTCGCGTATAGGGACTTTTACAGCAAGAGATTAGCTCATGAGCCACGCGGTTTATTACAGAAAATATACAGTAAAAAAAAATTCCAAAGTAATTAAATAAATAGAAAAATATAGAGGTGTGGCTGTGTCGTGGACACGCCCGTGTTTTTACGTAAATAAATTATGTGATGTAGCGAAACGACCTCAAAATGGCGGCTTTCCTCATCCGCCGTGTGGAATACGTCACAGTTCTCACTCAACGTAATCAATTCTTTGATCCTTTACTTATACTAAGTGGTGTTATTAAATTTTGAATGAAGATGATAGATGTAGCTGCAACACCAAACTGTAGCCCCGATTTTGTTATTATCAGTTTTTATTGAAATTGTCTCCCACTATGAAAGCAAACTGAAATACGAGGGCTGCACTAAAAGTATCGGGAATTGAATATTTCCACTGTTCCTGTCATATTAAAATATTTTTAATTGAAAACTTCTTGGTTTTAAAAATCGAATACCATTTATTTATTTAAAAAAAGATTTTCGGTCTTGTCACAAGGTTTTGTCAAACTTGTTTAGTCGTTGAGAAAATGGAATTGACTCGAGAAAATTCAAGAGCGATGATTTATTATGACTTTCGAAGTGGTTTAACACAAAAACAGTGTGTTGACAGGATGATTTCTGCATTTGGTGATGAAGCCCCATCCAAAACCACAATTTATCGCTGGTTTGCTGAATTTCAACGTAGACGGCAAGCTCAGTGATGACACCCGTCAAGGTCGTCCAAAAACTGCAGTCACCCAAGAACACGTTGATGCTGTGCGTAAGCTGATTGAGGAAGATCGACATGTGACATACCGCGAAATTTAGGCAACTTTAGACATTAGCATGAGTCAAATACAAATAAACTTGCATGAATAATTAGGTGTAAGAAAGTTGTTTTCCCGATGGATACCGCATTCGCTCTGTGAAGAGCAATAAGCGGTTCGCGTTACTTGGTGTCTCAGAACTCTCGAAAGATTCCACGCAGGATCCTCAAATGCTGTATACAACATCGTATTAGGTGATGAATCCTGGATATATACATACGAACCCGAAACAAAAAACCAGTCACGAGTTTGGGTGTTCGAAAATGAGTTAAAGCCAACAAAAATTGTTCGTCCACGGAGTGTTGCCAAAAAAATAGTGGCCACGTTTGTCTCCAAAACTGACCATGTTACGACTATTCCTCTTGAGGAACAAAGAACGGTTAATACAGAATGGTATGCTAACATTTGTTTGCCACAGGTCGTTTCTGAACTCCGTAAAGAGAACTGCAACTGCCGCTTCATCCTCCATCACGACAATGCGAGTTCTCACATCGCACACAGAACAAAAGAGTTTTTAGAGCAAGAAAACATAGAATTATTAGACCATCCGCCCTACAGCCCCGACCTAAGCCCTAATGATTTCTATACTTTCCCTAAAATAAAGAATAAATTGCGTGAACAGAGATTTTCATCACCTGAAGAAGCTGTGGACGCCTACAAAACGGCCATTTTGGAGACCCCAACTTCCGAATGGAATGGTTGCTTCAATGATTGGTTCCATCGTATGGAAAAATGTCAATGTTTCGCGGAGAATACTTCGAAAAGCAATAAATACATTTTTAAATAGTAATGTTGTGTCACTTCCTTGATTCCCGAAATTTTCAGTGCCGCACTCGTACATATTTGTGTCAAAAATATAATGAATAGATAAATAGATATGAAAACAAGTGAGGCGTACCCGAGCTGGTGGCGGAGGGCGGCGAGGTCGCGCGCGGCGGCGGCGGCCGGCACGCCCAGCTGCTTGGCGCGCGCGATCAGCCGGCAGTCGTCGTACGTGTAGTCCAGCACCGGCACCCCCAGCGCTCTGCGGATATCGCCAACAACACCCCTCAATGTCTGCCCATGTATAATATTATGTGGGGGGTAGCCACTACAATTTTCAACTAATTTAAGTTGTAACCAGCAAGATATTGCTGCAGCTCCTGAATTTCATTACTACACTAAAACTTAATTATATCTTTACTTAACTATGATAAAAAATAAAAAAATAAAATACCTGGCCATAACATCTCGAACGTTTCTCGCGTAAAGCTTGGGATCTCTCTTCTCCTCCTCGCTTGGATAGTACACCGGGAGAAACTCAATCTCACATGAGCTGTGTACTTGTGTTAGTGTAAGCCACAATAATTTTAACCTGAAAATAATACAAAGGGTCAAAAAGTTGAAAAAGATTATTTAAAAAAATTACAGACCGATCTCTATACAATCAATCTTCGCCAAATTATTTGTTCTTTTATTCAGAGAAATATCAATCTTTACTTAACCACTAGACAACATGGTTTCGTTGAGCCTAGGTTCACGATGGGGAAGAAAGGTTCTCGAGAAGCAGCCTCGTACCGGCAGGCGAGGTGTAGGGCGTAACTAGATGGAGTAACGACCTAGTAAGACATGCAGGAAGTCAATGGATGTAAGTGGCTCCGGACCATGCTTTGTGGCATTCCTTGGGAGAAGCCTATATTCAGCAGTGGACTTGTGAAGGACTGTAATGATGATGATGATTCCAGGTCTAAATTGTTTGAATTTTAATTCAGTTTACACTCAGTAAGTTTATATCGTTTACAAAATTTGTACCAAACAGACAAACAAACAAACAGACAGACAATAAAGTAAATTTATATTGCATTATCATTCAGTTCCGAGCTGTATATAAAGTTTCAAGGCTCTATATCTCATAGCTCATCGGGAAGTTGGTTTAAAATCGATTGCATAATTTGTACCGAGCAAGCCGACAAACTAAAAAGCAGATTAATAAAGGCGTGATGAAAATAAGATATAAAAGGATATACCAACAAATAATATGATTGAAATAATAATTACTCACGCGCCTGGTCCCTCCCAAGTCCATGTGACCGTATCCCGGGCATTCGGGTAGCGAATAGTGACGGGCTGCACGGGCACTCCCGGGTAAAAACCTCCTGGTTTGAAAGTGATCAAGCATGACCGGTTCGTGCACGTGCCCTCCGGGAATATAAGTACCTGGGGATCAAATTTTAACAATGAATAGCACGTGCATAATAATTTAAAAAAAGATGCTTGAGTGTCGTGGAACACTCGGTTCGAACGAAGTTACTTTCGTAGCATATTATTACTGATATACGTATTATATTATTGATTAACAAATACAAATAAATTAATTACTAGCAACGATTAAAATAAAGCTTCATTTAAAATAAAATAATATTTCTTTCATGGTAACATAAGAAAAAATGCGAGGGAGATGGATATTATTCCATCTCGCTTCCTTAGCCGCCTAGGCCGTCAACACTACAGAAGGGGTCGTGACGGAAAAATCTTACACTTTTTGCCGCCTAGCCCCCATCCTCCAAATCCATACCGTCCGTTAAAGAACTTTGTTCCAAAACCTATTCGAAAAATGAACTAATAAACACGTTTTCTGCATGAGTTGCCTGTACTTCGTTAAGCGGAAGTTGTACTGGCAATGCTGCTGTCCATCACTAGTCTATGGGAATGAAGTTCGGCTTTCTAGCTATCCATTGCATGTTCATGCCTTAACTTTATACCATAACTTTCACGTCGTGGATTAAGAAAGATCGATTAAGAAAGACTATTAGTCCTTTCTTAATTCACAACTTGATGTTATTCTTTTCAAGAATGCGCAATTATATCTCGCTACCTCGGTAGGTATTTTGCCTAGGTAGGCACCCGTTACACCCGTAGTTATTTTTTATAGATGTAGAAATTTTTTGCTAACTACTAAACTAAGAAAAACAAGTATACCCCCAGTATTAGCGTTGACTTAATTGTAAGAGGGAGGGACTAAACTACAACAATCGATATAGGATTAGAGGGCGCGGTCATTAACACTTATTTCAATTTCTTTTTTGTCTAGTAATATTAGGTTAGTAGTATTTTAATACCAAATGCTTTTTTTTTTTGCTGTGGCAACCCCGGTGACAAGTTGTAAAATAATTGCTCCCAACTATTTTTAAAAATTAAATATTGTAAATTGATAATATCCAACTTAATTTTAAGTTACAGTTGTTAAATACGACTTACTTGTATTTGTGAAATAAGTAAAATTCAGAAGTACCTATTTAAATTACATTGTGTTAAGTGTTTCTAACCAAAAGTAACAGCTGTAACGAACATTGTTTAAACTTATTGTAAGTGTAATTCTTGTTATCCCTTTAACATTTTAAGATTTACCTATTAAGTGAGTGTTGTTCTGGATTTCATTTTGAATAGTCTACATAATAATTTAATTTGAGATCTGTAAATAAACCCATACATCTAGACATTTGCTTACTCTGCTTCTTTGGTTTTATTTCTTTGTATTCTTTTGCTATTTACACTTAATAGTAAAATGAATACACGCAACGCCAAAACGCGCCAATTGGAGAACCAACTTTAAGTGGCGCTTCGACAACTTAAGGCGTAACTAAAAGGAGCTGTGTGAGCTGTTATGTAAAGAAATGTATGACAATGAAAAGGAAATAATAAATATAATTGCTAAAAATACTGATTTATAAAGTGACATGGTTAAGTTGCATAAAGAATATATATTTGTTTCAAAAGAAGGGGATCAACTTCAGACAACAGTCGAACAGTCTGTTCAATGAGCTCATAGAATGCGAATCTTCTAAAGCGTTGCAACCCTCCACAACAATCGATTTGACTGGTGATGATTATGTCACATCAAGAACTACCTGCAGTAGAAGAAAATTAAAGAAATAAATAAAAATTAATAAATATATTAAAAAACTGCAAAAATTAATTAAAACTAAAATTAATGTTAAAAATTATATAAATGTATGCAAATAAAAGCAATAATTAATTAATAAACTTAAAATATATTCAATTGAGGTGATAAATATGAATCACTGTTATGAGACTGATATAGAGTGTGTCTTTAATCAACAATTTTATCACTTAAAAACTCCCTACAAATTCTATCAAATAAATATGCATCGGCTCAAGATGAGATAAAAGAACACATATTGGCCATGAATGATCTGGTAAAATCATGCAATTATAATGAGGCGCTCCTTAATAAACTCCTTTGACATCTTGTTAACGTTGCCTTACATACAGGGTTGGCCGCAGGAATATAAAATAAGATATGATTTAAATTTAATGTAATAATAATTTAAACTTGACATTTAATTGTTATAATTATAATAATAAATTTAATTTAATAGACATAAATAATTTAATTAAGAAATTTTTGACTAGAGATAGGAATTACCTATCTAAATATAATTTAAGACAGATAGCAAATGTGCTATCTTATTGTTTATATATTAACTCAGCCAAGGACTTGGCTACACAGACATCTGCTTCTTTTGAGCAGTATAATGACTTAATATATAATTTGGAATCAGTTCCAAGTAATTTAAATTAGAAAATGAGATAATAGAGGTAATCTCTAGCAGTACTAATAATTTAAATAATTTAGAATGTAGCTTACAAATCTTTAATTGTATGACTCCACGGAATGATAATGAAAATTGTTTACACCTGGTGCATCAAAATATACAAGGCATGATAGGCAAAGAGCTAGAAATTGAGTTGTTCTTAAATAGCATCAATATTCACATTTTATGTATTACTGAACATTGGTTAAAAGCTTATAACTTAATGTTTAACTTCAGTAATCACCAGTTGGTCAGTTCTTTCAATAGAGAAACGGTTTTAAGAGTGGCTCCTTAATATTAGCTAGTAAATATTATCAAGTAAACAACGTAAAGATATTGTGAGCCTCTCTGCTGAGCGAACTGTGGAAATGGCATGTGTTGAGTTTGAGCACCTCATTGTTGTGAGCGTCTACAGACCCCCATGTTGTACATATGATACTTTTGAAAACATTATGGAGGAAGTTTTTGCTAAGCTTAATAAACAGAATAAATCTGTTGTAATATGTGGAGATTTTAATATCAATCTCCTAGAAGCTTCCTCCATCAATATTAAATTTAGATCATTGTTTAAATCATATGGTCTTTTTAATTTATTTATAGAGCCAACGCGTATTTCTCAATCTAGTGCAACATGTATAGATAACATTTTTACAAATGTGAAGCCGTAGCATAAATGTATAATTCAAAAATTAAGTTCTGATCACTGTGGACAAGTAGTATCACTACCTTATGTTCACAAAAAGCAAGTAGATGAGAAAGTTGTGTTTGTTCCAGTAAATGCACGTAGCTTGGAGAAATTTAGAAGTTACATAGTGAAAAAACTTCCATCACATTCATATACCAAAATGATCCTAATTTTTTGTATGGAACATTATTTAAGCTTATTTGCAATGAATTTAATAGTAGTTTTACTTCTAAAATATTCTCCTTGAACAGTCCGAAGTCATTCAATGAATGGGCGACGGTAGGAGTCCATAAGAGCAGACATAGGTTATATGATCTTTACCATGTAAGGTCATATAATCATAGCGTCTAATTTAGGAAATATGTAAAAAAATATTCAAAAATATTTAAAAGAGTGTGCTCCATAGCCAATTCTTTGCATTTGGGCAACAAAATTGAGACGGCTTCTAATAAAATTAAAATGACATGGAGTATAATTAATAGCGAAACTGGTAAGATCAACTCTCGCAATTCAAACTACCAGTTAAGTGTTAACAACAAATTAACTGAATCAGATCAGGACGTTGCAATGGTTTTTGAGAAATATTTTACTGATATTCCGATATTAACCACTAAGCTACTGAATTCTTCTCTTGCCGTCGCCGAATCATTACTTAAACAAAATGTAAATGCGTGTACAAAGAATTTTAAATTTCATAAAGTAACATCAAAAGATATTGTAAAATATTTTAAAACTATTGATGTTAAGAAAACTGCGGATCTATGGGGGATTTCTGTTAAAGTTATTGCGTCTATAATAGATACAATCGCGCCTCATTTAGCTATTATTTTTAATACTAGTATCGAATCTGGTGTGTTTCCTGATTTAATGAAGCATAGTAAAGTAATCATCATTCATCATTACAGCCCTTCACAAGTCCACTGCTGAACATAGGCCTCCCCCAAAGAATGCCACAAAGCACGGTCCTGAGCCACCTGCATCCATCGACTTTCTGCATGTCTTACCAGGTCGTCACTCCATCTCGTGGGGGGACGCCCTACACTTCGCCTACCGGTACGAGGCTACTTTGCGCAGAGGCAATATCGTAACCAATGAGTAAAGTAATACCTTTATTTAAATCTGGTAGTACATTAGACCCCGCCAATTTTAGACCTATTTCTGTACTACCAAAACTTAGTAAAATTTTTGAAAAAATTATTCTTGATCAAATGTTAAATTTATTTAATATAAATAATTTACTTCATAAAAATCAATTTGGTTCAAAAAAAACTAATGCCGGTGTTGAGCTGATTAAATATATCTTTAATGCATGGGAGAATTTACAGGATGTTTTGGGTATGTTTTGTGACCTATCCAAGGCCTTCGATTGTGTTCACCATGAAACATTAATCAGGAAACTTCAACACTACGGTGTAAGAAGTGATGCTCTTAAATTAATTATTTCATATTTAAGTAAGAGAACGCAAAAAGTTGTCATTAATAGTTTGAGCTCTTCCGGGTCGATGGTACAAATGGGCGTGCCTCAAGGCTCAATTCTCGGCCCCTTTCTGTTTCTTGTGTACATTAATGACTTACCTTACATATTAAGGGATAACCATGATATAGTATTATTTGCAGATGACACTTCTTTAATTTTCAAATTAAGTCGACAATTACTAAAATATGAAGAATTAAATAATGCTATATCTAAATTAGTAAATTGGTCCAATGTTAATAATTTGCATTTAAATGGCACTAAAACGAAATATATGAAATTCATGACTTCATATGTCAAACAATTAAATACTAATGTAATTTTAAATGAGGAGAAACTGATTTTTCTTGGAATCACAATAGACGCGAAGCTTAAATATCAAAACTAGCAAACAGACTTAGTTCTGCAGTATATGCTGTAAAAAAGATTAGAAGTCTTACCAGTGTTGAAACAGCTAAACTAGTTTACTTTAGCTATTTCCATAGCATAATGTCGTATGGTATTTTACTATGGGGACACGCAGTTGACATTGAAATTACATTTGTTTTACAGAAGAGGGCCATAAGAGCAATTTATGATATAAAGCCTAAAGAGTCGCTGCGACAAAAATTTAAGGAAATTAATATACTAACTTTGGCCTCTCAATACATTTATGAAAATGTACGCACACAAAAATAAAAGGAGTTTTACAAAAAAGTGATATTCATTCTGTAAATACTAGGAACAGACACAAGCTAGTAGTACCAGTTACTCGACTCCATCGAGTCAATAATTCATTCTTGGGGCGATGTATACGCTTTTACAATAAAATTCCAGAAAATATACAAAATTTGACCTGCTCAAAGTTCAAAAAGTTTATTAAACTAAGTTTGTATAAAAAGGGTTATTATAATATTAAAGAATTTATGGATGATAATAACCCCTGGAAATGAGGTGATCGCTACCAAACTATTTCTAATTTTTTGTGTTGTTACTTTGTGTAACATACATGATTGTAAGCTGTTATTTTTAAAAAAAACGTCCCGCTAGGTTTCTTGCTGGTTCTTCCCAGGACAGAGGTTTTTTTTCGAACCAGTGGTAATTAAACAAAAGAGTGACTTTCAATAAGTATTATTTATAATCTTTATTGAATAAAAAAGTTTCTGCTCTGTTCTGTTTCAAATGCTTTCCTAAAATTCGTGTTCAGCTCTCAAATTATAACATTGATAGCTTCCAATAAAAACGATTTTCATCCACGCACAAAAATATATTTTGTTTTAATTTTGTGCGCATTTTCCATACGTTCACTAAATTTCATAATTTTGCAAACTGTGTAAAGGAATAGTTATGAAACACAAACACTTCTATAACTTTTCGAACTTTTCAACTTTCCAGACGTCGTTACTTGCATTCTGTTTGTTAAGAAAACTATAATTATTTTAGGATTTCTCCATGTTCAAAACATAAAATCAAATAGAATACAACCTCAACCATATCACGTTGGCCTAAAATATCACATTTTATACACGATTTTGCCGCTCGAGTAACGATACTTCTTGATAGTATAAGCTCGGAAGAAAATGAGCATACATGAAATGTTCAATTAAATTCTTAAATAGTTGGGAAAATCCAAAAGCCCACGTCTCATGAGCGTTTCATTTAATTTTGATGAAAAAAATAAATTGTATTCCTGACTTATTATTTACGAGTTTAAAATTTAGCACTCTATTATTTTAACAGGTAGTGTCACCTACAGGGAAAAACATTAATAATGTTTACTAAAATAAGTCAATTACACAAAGTATAATATCGATATAGGCTGTATGATACATTAATTTGTCCTATGTCTATCAAGAGTTAAAAAGAATATGAAAGCGCCTTTAAATTTATAATAGCAATAAAAGTTATAAAAGCTGAAAATCATTTTATTAACAAACTACGCGTACTACGCTATTGATATGAAATGGGGAACAGGTTGATGTAATTCTGAAGCTAATAAAAAACCCGGTCCATTTTTTCGGGATTGTTTTCTTGATACACGGCTACTCATATTATCGTACAAGTGCAATATGGTTATGATAAAGGTATTTTAAGAACACAAAATTGCTTGACCTTGACATATTGAGAGTAAAACACGCGTTATGAGGCATGCAATATTTTATATTAATCGAGATTAAAAAAATATAAATTAACCACAAAAGAAAAACTTTGAGGCTCGATTCTCATTTTTTAAGCTATCATCATCATTATCATCATTACAGCCCTTCACAAGTCCACTGCTGAACATAGGCCTCCCCCAAAGAATGCCACAAAGCACGGTCCTGAGCCACCTGCATCCATCGACTTCCTGCATGTCTTACCAGGTCGTCACTCCATCTCGTGGGGGGACGCCCTACACTTCGCCTACCGGTACGAGGCTGCCACTCGAGAACCTTTCTTCCCCATCGGTTGTCGGTTCTTCGAGCTATATGGCCGGCCCACTGCCACTTCAGCTTACTAATCCGTTGGGCTATGTCGGTTACTCTGGTTCTACTGCGGATATCCTCATTCCTAAGTTTATCACGCAGAGAAACTCCGAGCATAGCCCTCTCCATAGCTCGATGAGCGACCTTGAGCTTCCTCATACGGCCAGCAGTGAAGGACCACGTCTCAGTTCCATAAGTCATCACTGGCAACACGCACTGGTTGTACAATTTCGTTTTCAGGTTTTGAGGTATGTCTGACGAGAAGATGTGTCGTAGCTTCCCGAACGCTGCCCAGCCGAGTTGAATCCGTCGATTGACCTCTCGGTCGAAGTTGGACTTACCTAGTCGGACTATTTGTCCCAGGTAAACATACTCGTCAACAACTTCGAGCTTAGTGCTCCCAACAACTACCGGCATAGGTGTGACATGGACATTGAACATGATCTTAGTTTTGTCCATGTTCATCTTAAAACCTATCCGTTGGGAAACACTATCGAGGTCATTGAGCATAGTGCTTAGGTCCTCCAGCGATCCTGCCATAAGGACTATATCGTCGGCAAATCGAAGGTGAGTGATGTACTCGCCATTGATGTTGATACCGTATCCTTTCCAGTCCAGAAGCTTGAAAACGTCTTCCAATGCAGCGGTGAAGAGTTTCGGGGATATGACGTCACCCTGTCTTACGCCTCTCTGCAATTGGATAGGTTTCGTACTCTGGTTCTGTACTCGGATAGCCATCGTAGCCCTACTGTACAAGCACTTCAACACCTCGATATACCGACAGTCAACTTGGCACCGCTGAAGGGACTGCAGCACCGCCCAAATTTCGACGGAATCAAAGGCTTTCTCATAGTCCACATACGCCAGACATAGTGGCAAATTGTACTCTTCGGACTTCTGTACAATTTGCCGAAGGGTATGTATGTGGTCTATGGTGCTAAAGCCCTTTCGGAAACCGGCTTGTTCGGGAGGCTGGAAGTCGTCAAGTCTGCGCGCGAGACGATTCGTAATGACTCTCGAAAACAGCACGTAGACGCGGCTCAGAAGGGAAATCGGTCTGTAGTTCTTCAAGAGAGCGTTGTCACCTTTCTTGAAGAACAAGACCACCGCACTTCTGCTCCACGCCTCCGGTGTAATGCCACCATGGAGGACGGAATTAAAGAGCTTCTGAAGGACTTCAAGTACCGGTCTTCCACCCGCTTTCAGAAGCTCCACTGTAATTCCATCCTCGCCTGGGGCCTTACCGTTTTTAAGGTGCTGGAGAGCCATTCTAATCTCGCTCAGACTGACGTCCGGGATATCTTCGGAATAGTGTCGGATGAGACTCGCTCTTGGATCGTTACTCACACTTGCGTGTGGCTTTTAAGCTATAATAACCTTTTAATATTTTTCTATAGTATGTAATGTATCCTTTACTTCCTGATAATAAGCAAAAACGTTTCAAATAAAATAACTTTTTGTCCATCGAATATCGCTGCAGAAATGAAAGTGCTAAAAGCCATTAACGTCGGAAATCCTCGCCTTAAAATGCTCTTAGCACAAGCAAAAACTGTAATTCGCGGATCCGCGGTTTTTTAGTTCGTTTACTTGATTAGAAATATAATAGGAATATATAATTTTTATTCATTATAGATTATAAAAACACTTATTGTAAGTCATTCATGCTTTTATCACTGGCTTGAAAAAAATCTGTCGTGGGAGAAACCAGCGGAACATTTTAAAACCATTAATTTACAATATAATAAGTCGTACAATTGATTTTTAAACATCATTCTTTCATGACATTTTTCAGCAGCATTTAACGTCTACAGTCCCCACTAATTTCTGAGAGAAATCTCAAGCAAGCATGCATTTTAAGAATAAAATGCAGATGTGTTGTTAATTGAAGTTCATCACGTGGACTGTGTGTTTGTGGCTTGCCACTCTTTCTTCTTTAAAAAAAAAACTTATATAAACTTTTATTAATAAGGCTCCTTTCAAAAGATACAAATTCCATATGGTCATTTCATCTACACTTCATGTGAGCCGTTCGCTTAAGTGAACGTAGTTTAAAAACGTAGTTCGTATATATATGACGTGAGTACAGAACGACCCACCGAAGTAGGGAAATATTGTATGTTCACCCAAGAAATTCAGACATAAAATCTAGTCACAATCGTATCTCAATTTGGTTTATATCGATCTTGTCGATTTCGAGCACAGGCGCAGAGAAACTAGTCTATCGGCATTTTACGGAATGCGATTTTAAAATGTGCGCAGAAATCACGCAACTTAATTCGGTATTTTTAATTCCACCATCGAACAACCAGAAGCTCGCCGGTTCTTCACACTTTACTCCTTCCATTTTAGTCACCTTCGATTTGAAGGGTTTACTTCGTCGTGCATAATACATAGAAATAATTTGTCAGCATCTGTCTTTCTAGCCGATTACAATGTGGGTCTTTTAAAAAACAAAGTGTAAAAAAATAGGCTTAGCTTATTTTCATACCTGAGGCCAATTCTCTTTGGACGTCGCCCTCTCGATGATTTCCTTGATAGTGTTCTGCCGAGAGTTGGGATCATCTCGCCACACATACACCGGTTGTGTATAGTTTATGAGTTCTGAAATCAACAAATAATACACACTCTTTAATGTTTCGTGACACTTTGTAACGTGCAAGAAAAAGGCCGTAAAATGATGCTGGCATAATAAGTGTTTTGATTTATGAAAAGATATATCTTTTGAAAAAAAAACGTATGCAAACAATACATTGACAAAGTAAAAACTAACACAAGTTACTACAAATGATGACACAACTACAGCAGCGATATAAATCAGTGCAAACACGTTCTTCTATTACTGCATTTCAAATAGCAAGCGTAAGGCGGGGCGTGCGGCATAGCGGTAAGCTTTTCATTCAATTTCTACCCTAAGCCTGACAAGGGTAAAAAACTAAGTGATGACGCTTACAGTGGGGCAGAATATTCTCCAACACAACATTAAGAAACATAGAGTTTCGTACAAATTACAAATTGCTAATAATACAATTGTGTGATGTCAAAAAGGATCCCGCCTCAATGATAATATATGTGGGGGAACCACAGCACTTTCAGTTGGGAACTTAATTGACTCACGAGCAACCGGACATTGATGTAAAAGAGCACTTAAACTAATAAAAACACACATTCTTCTATAAATGTCCTAAGCGGCGTGTGCTCATACTGAATGCTAAATGAGCTGATATGCTACACGCCCTGCCGAACGGTCTTCACTGATGCGTAAGGCATAAAGCAAGGCTGAGGCCTGTGGAGCATTTGGCGAAACGAAACGTTCAGCGTGCGTGAAGGGCATAATCACACTACACTGAATTCAGGAATCCTTATTAGGATTTACAAACATGCCTTTCATTTATTATAGTGCCTTGAGTATCTCACGTTTGCAAAATACTGTCGGTTAAACGTTTACAACTACTTTCAACAACATTAAAACTAATGGCAGCGTTGTACGCTATATTCAACTGAGCGTTGCGCAAATTTGACGCTGATTAAGGTGCGTATACACTAATGCTGTCATGCTCTATTATTTCCTTTCTCACTTATGCATACAGCACACAAGCATATACGCTCACACTCTTGAATGTAACTAGGTACATATTAGTAGATTTTGGGATTATTAAAAACTACCAAACGCTTACGGTCACGGCAGAACTCCTTTTTTTTTATGCCGATATGATAAACGAGTGCATAAGCAACATCTACACCTATCCTGAATTCAAAAAAAAAAAAAAACAAAGATGCGTTTCACTCCTCATGATTAAGATGGAATGCATAGATAAGCAAAAGGGTTTGCAGTTTTTTGTCACTTATCATACGAAACACATCAGCATTATAATATCATTATCATCGCCACTGCTGAACATGTTTTGTAGTGCCAGTGATGTTATATGGATCTGAGACGTGGTCCTTCACTGCTGGCCGTATAAGATAGCTCAAAGTAACTCATCGAGCTATAGAGAAGCTTATACTCGAAGTTTCTCCACAAGATAACTTAAAAATGTGAATATTCGCAACGCAACCGGGTAACCGACAAAGCCTAACGGATGAGTAAGCTGAAGTGACAATGGGCCGGTCATATAGCACGAAGAACCGACAACCGATGAGAAGAAAGTTTCACGAGTGGCAGCATCGTAAGGATAAACGAACTAAATGAACACTTGATGGAGTGACGACTTGGTGCAAGATGCAGGAAGTCGATTGATGCAGATGGCTAAAGACCGTGTTTGGTTCCTATAAAACATTCCTTGGCCACCCGCTTATGTTCAGCAGCATAATAAATGCTATGATAGGCTGTAACTTTACTTTACTTTAAATACGCTGGTAAGTAAAGTAAAATTCCCACAGGGCACAGGCCTCCTCTCATTTCTGAGGGCAAGGAATATCCGCCGCGGCCCCAATGATAGTTGGCGGACTTCACATGTTTTCGAAATATTTTTTTATTTCTTAAGCATGCAGTTTTCCCCACAATGTTTCCTTCACCGCCAAGCACGTGGTAAATCAGCACTTAAAATTGCAATTAACAATTTCATTGGTGCCAGCGGCGATCGAACCCGGATTGCTCGCGTACTGTGAAAGCAAGTGTGCGCTTAGCCCCTGAGCTATTATTACGCTGATATTTATTCTGACTGAAAGAAGTCTGTAATTTATAATGTATTATTGAGCTAGCTAAATACTTAATAAATTGATCTTTGCCTCTTTGTCATAAAGAACACGACACTTAACCTTGATTTATATTGCAGTTTCTTTGCATCCTTTTGGTGCAACTGACTATCAATCCAAATTGAACTTTATATAGTCGCCTCACGTTTCATTTTCGTAGATAATTAAAAAGTATTATGAAATAATATTGTTGGCCAAAAAAGATTTTCAGAATTTGAAGTTGTATTTTAGGGACCCGCTGTCGAGAACAGGGTACTCTTGCAATATTAGGTGTCACATTATCATAAGTTGTTGTACTCATTGAACAAAACTATTTTACGGATTTTATCGCGTTTAATTTATATAATTTAATTCCCGACTTTTCAGGTGCTTTACAGCAAACCATGGTCACGGGGGGCACTGAGATGTTTGACGTCCCGATGTCCCATAAGTAAATTAAACGCGATAAAATCCGTAAAAAAAATAGTTTTATTCAATGTGTAGTATTCGCGTAAATATAAGAAATCATTTGTTGTATTCATGTCTAGAACTCACAAGAAAATATTACAAAGACACATGTATTTATCTAATATATGAAAATTGATATTTGCGTGTTCGTATTTTATGCGCTTCCATACCGTTCATCAGATTGCGGTAAGACTCTTTCTAAGAATTGTTGCATGAATGTATTATCATTACCAATTAAAAAAAATAACTCTTCTAAATTTGAAATGATATTTCCACAAATATTTTTTTCTGCGGCTGCAACGCGCCAGGTACCAGCTAGTTTTTTTTTTTAATAAAAAGACTATCGATCCGCCCCGGATTCGCACGGGTTATTTTTGGGGTCTTGACAACATATCCATGTATTATACATATAAACCTTCCTCTTAAATCATTGATCCATCGATGAAAACCGCAACAAAATCCGTTGCGTAGTTTAAAAGATCTAAGCGTACAGACGGCGGGAAGCGCTATTTATACTATGTAGAGAAGTGATTAATGAACTTACAGTCCACAGTAAGTGGCTACTGCAGTCCTTGAACACCTGCAACCAACTTCAAACAGAGAAGGCTACAGATGCGCTGTAACCTCTAAGGCCTAAGTACTTCACAGTCTGTAACTATACTGGCTCTTGTGCCTCTTCCCATTTAATCACTTTTAAATTTTTCAAATGATCAAACAACAACTTCAGAAATAATACATGTCTTGAAAAAGAATGAATAATATGTAACAAATACTGCGGCTTAAGAAAATACAATATTATATTTAAAGAAATATGCACAACGGAACCCTACCTCACGCCTATTCCAACTCACACTTCGCATTATTTTTTAGACTTCAGCCAGGTCTATTCAGCTCAGACAATGAACGAAGCAATGTAACGATGCAGCAACCTTGCTAAAATTAAGAAAAAACCCAACAAAACAATCGCATTTGATACGCCGGAGCCTGAATAATATAACAATTTAGTTTTCAATTTAAAAATAATTGAATTTCCGAGACGATTGTTTCATAAAGCTATAAGAAAAAATGAAATAAAAACGTTATTTCAAATTACAAAAGAATAGTCTTGAGCTAAGAAGAAGCTATTAAGGATGCGGTACGGGGAATACTTTGAAACAAAAGTTTCTTCATAAAAACATTAGGTACAAGTACCTACTGCTCGGTAGCATTCTGCGTTTTAGTGTCATGTGTCTTATCGATTTAATTGCAGTATTTTAAGCTCCAGCTTTTTGTTTTACAGAAGATGGCCATTAAAACTATTTAGCACCTAAAACCGAGAGAGAGAGAGAGAGTATATTTACGAAAATTTAATGTATGTATGTTCACAAAAACAAAGGCAGTTAGTACCATTGCCAGCGAGATGTAGGTCTTTTATCTCACTAACAAATAGGTATGAATCCTTTATGTGTGCTCTGGTATGTCCTCTCAGTGGTGACAGTATTTTTGCCAAGTGTTGAGCCAACTTATAAGTTGGTGAAACGATTTGTCTCACGATGGGACGTAGTGGAGCGTTTGGTTTGTGTATTTTCGGTGGACCCCTACGTGGCAATCTATGTGTGTGGCCTACGTTCAGCTTTTGTGGTTAGTTATTGTAGTTATAGGCTGATGAAGAAAAAAGGTAAGGTATTTCAATTCACGAACGCAACATCGTTTAACTTATATATGCCGTTACAGCCTATCTAAACCACTGCTGAACGTAGGCCTCCCGCATCATATGGGGGATATGGGATATTTGCTACAGTTGACTCGCTCGGCTAGAAAAGTTGATAATGGCAGTTTATTTTTTATTTTTTAGTTGAAGACGCTGCTGCCCATCTCCTGGTTTGTATCCCTTTGTCTACTTTTACAACACCCACGGGGCGATATGGGGTATCGTATATAATACACCGCCACTACACGATAAAAGTCGTAGTTCTTAACAAATTAGTTATTAAACACCTCAAAGATAACGCGCTCAATACACTTTCAATTTCGTCGGCGTACAAAATATAATATTCATAGATAAAACAATGACGCACAGTCGAAGCGTCGCTTACTAGGTTACTACATATAACACGCCGACTAAGAAAGTGCCATTAACAACAAAGTAGCGGAGAAAGGCAGGCCTTTGATTATCACCGCGGTACATCTGATTTGAATGCAAAGCCGCACGCAGCCTTGTTAAAATTGTGGCTTTCTTGTATATAATATTTCTTCTTGTGTTGTAAGTACAATCTATAGAGGCTTCAATTTTTGGTTGATGCCGTTATTTCAAATAATTGAGTACTTTTATTTTCCACCCGGTTCAAATGGTTAATGAAGTCCGTGGCCAATCAATTTTAAATAAAGAAGGCTACAGTAGCGTTGACATCTTTAGGGACTGCGATTAAGGTTTTTTGTTTTTTTTATATAGAAGAGCAAACGAGCATGCGGCTCACGTG